TTCTCCACAGTCACAGAACGTTTGTCCTGTATTCTTTGATCCTCCTGCTTCACTTCCAAGCTTATTAAGTGACTTCAAGGTGGTCCAGATAGAATCTTGTTAGATTTCTGACTGGGCCCACCTTCCCAATGCTGGTGATTCACCTTCCATATGAGTTGCTGCACCCACCTTTTTAGGTGCACGTTGTTATGTGTCATCAATAAAGACTTGCTATTTGGATTTTTGGACTCTGTTGCCTAGAGTTTTCCCGAATCAATCCAGCTGGTCCCAAGGCAGCTTTCTTTTTTAATGGTAAGCTAGGCCAACCTAGGCTGTGAAGCTTCCCATCTTTCTTAAGGTGCGTGAAATGTAGGCATTGTGGGACTTGCATAATGGAGAACTGTGGGAGATGTAGTCCACAAAAAGACAAAGGGTACATTCCTAGTTCAGCCACTGCCAACTTATAGCAACTATAAAAATAGAGTTTTAGAGGTACAGAGTTTAGAGGAACCCTTCTGAGAGAAGCGTTGCCTTTTCTGACAGAATTGCAAAGGGTGCCAGTATTTTTGGCCATAACTGTACGTGAGATGTTCAAGGAGTGAACATGGCCACCCACCCAGGAGTTTCCGTGACTCTGTAGGGATTTGAAATCAGGTCTCCTAAGTGGGATGGGTGTGTGATTTATGACTGTTGAACCATTGGGAGTGATTCTGTGCCAATAAAAGTTTGATATCGGCCTTGCCTCTGCGTGCAAGGGATATTTTGGACGTTCCATTTTGCATGCTCTTTGAGACGTTGTGCAGAACTATGGTTTAAGCTAAGAACCTACACTGATGGTTTGAGCTTCTGCACATACTACAGACAAGCCATGGTTCAGAGTGACGTACCTGCTCTTGCCTCTCCCCTTCTGAGCACTCCATAACCTCCGGCCTGCCTCACTGAAGCAGCGGCCTCTTGGATCCTTTCAGGTCCCCAGCGATAACAACAACGTGAAAATGCCTTCAGCTGATTTCTTACAGTTGGAGCCAGTCGTCAGCTGCGTGCCCCACTGCTACTCCCAGGAAGTCAGCCAGCTGTGCCGACTGGCTTCGGGAAGTTATGCCATCGTTCCATCCACATACTTGCCGGACACAGAAGGAGGGTTCACGGTTACCATAGCAACCAAAATAGACAGGTAAAACCTGCATTTGCTTCACCTAAATATGTATATCCATAACAATAGGATTTTTTCCTCATAGCCACAGATTTTTTGGGGTGGGGGCAGGGGAGGACAGCTTTTCTGCCAAATCTGAAATGTGTTTGTGGTATTAATATGGTTATTATGTGCTGTCGTGTCAGAACTAACTTATAATGACTAATGGGGTGTTCAAGGTAAGTGAAGCATTTAAGGAGTGGTTTTACCAGTTCTAGAGGGACGCTGCGGATCCATTGGTAGAATCACGCTGTCCGAATCCACGGTGGATCAGTGAGTGGATCGTCCGGCTCCATGGGGCTGGACCCTCGTTAACGCCACCTGTGCGGGATATTCGTATAGGAACGCCCCCATCTCTAGTCACAACCAGTTAGCCTATTCCCTTAGTGTGCCTCCTTGACATGGGTTGGACTTGATGATCTAGAACAGTGATGGTGAACCAACCACAACCACCCCAAGGAATTCCGCTCCTCTGGCCTCACAACTTCCAGCGCCTGCTTGGGATACTCCCCGCTCTGCCTTCGGCTGCAGTCCTTAAAGGCGCAGGGTTTGTGTGTGTTTGTGGTGGCAACGGCCTATTCCCTTAGTGTGCCTCCTTGACATGGGTTGGACTTGATGATCTAGAACAGTGATGGTGAACCAACCACAACCACCCCAAGGAATTCCGCTCCTCTGGCCTCACAACTTCCAGCGCCTGCTTGGGATACTCCCCGCTCTGCCTTCGGCTGCAGTCCTTAAAGGCGCAGGGTTTGTGTGTGTTTGTGGCGGCAGCGGCCATTGCTGTCTTGGCTCTCCCAACCTTCCCAAGAGTTCTTCCCAAAATCCAGGATCGCAGGACGTGTCAATATTTCTCGATGGCGACTTAGGCCTTGCGTGCCCACAGAGAGGGCTCTGCGCAGTCAATATTTCTCGATGGCGACTTAGGCCTCGCGTGCCCACAGAGAGGGCTCTGCGCGCCAGCTGTGGCATGCGTGCCATGGGTTCGCCATCGCTGATCTATAGGGTCTCTTCCGGCTTTGCAGTTCCAAGATTATAAAATACAAGCTCATCCAAAGCTTTGGAACTTCCAAAAGTGCTGCATGATGGGAACTCAAACCCCTAAGCTCTAGAAAGGCTCAGAAACAACCCTTTAATCATACTTTTTGTGATCATGACAAGGTTGTGTTTCCTTTCACACAGGAAAAGCATTCAGTCAACAGAGACTTTGGGTCAAAGGCTGGAGGAGGTGAGATGCATGTTGAGTAATGACGTTTACATTTTTATTTTGAGGGCTTGGCATGCTAACCTATCATTTTTATCAATCAAAGAAAATTATAAGGCCTGACTGACTAAGTCATCCTTGCATGTTAAAACAGGTGAGGAGGAAACCATGAAAGGTTTTCCAGAAAAACTGAAGACAAAAAGGAACAACAGTTTTAAAAATTAATCTCTTAAAAATAACACCAAACAAAGAGTCGCTAAAAGAGAGATATAAGAGGTCTATAGACTCCGAATTATAGTATTGGAAAAGCAAAGCATAGCTCCAGAGTATATACACATTAGCTTCTATTAAAAGTTTCCAACTATATATATATATATAAATAAGACAGGGTCTTATATTCATTTTTGCTCCAAAAACACATTAGGGCTTACTTTCAGGGGATATTTTATTTTATAAATAAGACCCTGTCTTATTTTCAGGGAAACACAGTATATATACACAGTATATATATATATATAGTTGGAAACTTTTAATAGAAGCTAATGTGTATATACTCTGGAGCTATGCTTTGCTTTTCCAATACTATAATTCGGAGTCTATAGACCTCTTATATCTCTCTTTTAGCGACTCTTTGTTTGGTGTTATTTTTAAGAGATTAATTTTTAAAACTGTTGTTCCTTTTTGTCTTCAGTTTTTCTGGAAAACCTTTCATGGTTTCCTCCTCACCTGTTTTAACATGCAAGGATGACTTAGTCAGTCAGGCCTTATAATTTTCTTTGATTGATAAAAATGATAGGTTAGCATGCCAAGCCCTCAAAATAAAAATGTAAACGTCATTACTCAACATGCATCTCACCTCCTCCAGCCTTTGACCCAAAGTCTCTGTTGACTGAATGCTTTTCCTGTGTGAAAGGAAACACAACCTTGTCATGATCACAAAAAGTAT